TGTGTTATAGCAGCATAATAGCTGAGTGTTTCTACCAGGAGGTTGTCCGCTAACTGCTACCCACTTCTGAGGCTTTTCACGAACTGCATGCAGTGTGTTCTTTGCATGTCTTTTTTTCACTGTTTGTTTTTGAAATGTCATGATGTTCGCTAAATAATTAATACCTACATGGCACATCACGTTCAGATCAGATCAAGTGTAGGTAGCATCTGTTGTGATCAGCTCCATTGTCCATCTGATCACACCAAAAAAAAAAAACTCGATGCGGCATGTTCAATCAGACAAAGTGCCTAATTGTCGTCGATGCTGATTCTATCTGGCTTGTCAGCTGCCAGTCGGCGCCTGCCCGTGGCTGTGAGATGAGTGGGACCTGGTTCAAACCATGTAATAACCGCAATGGGACCCAGTTCGAACCAGGCGATTACAGGAAACAAATGGGACCTGGTTTGAACCAGGTAATTACAAAACGGGACCTGTCTTGACCGCGGGTAATTACAGGAATGGGATCTGGTCTGAACGAGGTAATTATGGTTCCTGGTCTGAACCAGGTAATTAACAGAATGGGACCTGGTCTAAAAAAGCAGGTAATTACGGGAATGAGACCTGGTCTAAAAAAGCAGGTAATTACGGGAATGAGACCTGGTCTAAAAAAGCCGGTAATTACGGGAATGAGCACCTGGTTTGAACCAGGTTATTACAGGAACGGGACCTGGTTTTAACCATGTTATTACCAGAATGCGACCTGGTCTAAAAAAGCAGATTATTACTAGAATGGGACCTGGTCTAAAAAAGCAGGGGGAAAAATTACCGTAATGAGCCCTGGTCAAAACCAGTTTAAAAAATTACCGTAATGAGCCCTGGTCTAAAATTACCTCACCGGTGCTAGCTATCTGGATTGGACCAGGATTGGACCACGTTGGCACCTAATCATCGGTGCAATGGCAACTGCTCTGTAACGTCACCAAAATAATCATCACTGGCCGATGTTTGCACCTGGCCGTGTTTCTTAAAATTTTTACATTAAAATGATGGACATTTATACCTGGCCGTTAGTGAAATAATAATAATAATGACAAATATTGAAACCTGGTCTATTTCTCGAAGGAAGGATGCGTTCGCAAAGACAATGACTGGAAAAAAAAAAAAAACAGAAAAAAAGGCTGGTGTTTGTTTCTTTTTAACATTTCCTCCCCCGCCCCCMCCCCCCCTCTCTCTCTCTCTCACAAGACGCCACCCCTCGACCTCTCCAAACACCCTGCTGGTGCACCCCTACTCCCCTCCGTCCTACCTCACTTGAGGGCCATCACTCTCTCCGATGGAATAATAACCGGACCAAACAGCGGTGGTAGGCACCAACGCTGAACGGGAGCCCCCTTCCAGCCAGCCCTTGGTCGAGGCATTGTTGCAAAAGCGTCGTCAAACGGGTACCCCCGGGAACCCTGGGAGATAGGTGTGAATCTATTAAATACTAGCCCTGCGAATAGACCCGAGAGTAGAGTACCCCTTTTTACCCCAGGGGCACTACCGCTGAATGGGAGCCCTCTCTCAGCCCTAACGCTGAATGGAAGCCCTATTTCAGCCCCGGTTCAGGACTTGGCTCCCATTCAGACCTGGTTCAGCCATTGTTGCAGAAGCTAGGCCTGAATCTATTACTACTACCGTCTTCACCCGAATAGAACGCCCGGTACTTATTGCTGCATCTGGACGGAAAGTTGCATCAAATACAGCTATAATGACCGGGCGTTCTATTCGGGTGAAGACAGTAGCCCTGTGAGTAGACCCAAGAGTAGAGTACCCCCTTTACCCCAGGGGCACGAACGCTGAACGGAATCCCTCTTTCAGTCCCGGTTCAGGCATTCTTGCACTAGCTAGACGTGAATCTATATTACTACGGGCCCCCCATGGATAGACCCAAGAGTGAAGTACCCACTTTACCCCAGGGCCACCAATCTGAATGGGCGAGCCCCCTTTCAGCCCTGGTTCAGGCATTGTTGCACGAGCCTCCTCGTACAGGTAACTCGGGAGCCTTCTTCCCCCGAATACAACGTACGGTCATTATAGCTGCATTTGGACTGAAAGATACCCTAAATACATACAGCTATAATGACCGTACGTTGTATTCGGGGGAAGATTGTAGGCGTGAATCTATTAATTAGTACTACCAGGCCTGTCGAGTAGACCCAAGAGTACCCCGCTCCGCTTACTCCAGGGGCGCGTCCCTAAAGTTCCCTGCTTCAAAAAAAAAAAAAAAAAAAAAAAGTTCCCTGCTTCGAGCTCCGCAGGCTGGCGCTTGTACCTGGCCGTTATTGTTAGCAAAAGAGGAGCGACTGATGTTCGTACCTGGCCGTTATTGTTAGCAAAAGAGGAGCGACTGATGTTCGTACCTGGACGTTAACGGAATGCTGCATCGTGTTCATAGCTGGCCGTTAGCTGAATGATCCCCGCCGTTTGCATTTGGCTTTTTTTGTTGGAAAGACATCAGTTCACACCTGGATACCCCTTAAAAATAAAAAATAAAAAAAAAAAAATAATAAAAAAATCATCTATACCTAGACTACCAGCCGGGCCGCCCGGGTCACCCTATTTCCCCGGGCGGCCCGCCCGTGCAAGGACCAGGGAAGGTCGCAGCCAAAAAAAAAAAAAAAAAGTTCCGAAAAAAAGCTATGTTGTGCAGAAAAATAAACTAAATAACTTTTTCCTCAGGGTCACATCGAAACTCTTTACCCAATTTAAAATAAAAATTCAAATTAAAAAATAATTTTTATTTTTTATTTTTTTTTATTTCTTTTTGGTCCGGCCGGGCAAGTGGCCCCCGGCCACTCTGGTTAACTAGATCTATACCACAAAACAGTGACAACACTGACAAGAGCATTGCTCTCTTTTTTTTTCCCCCTTTAAAGAACTGAGAGGATCACTCAGCTTCGCTTATACCACATTCAGCATCAATCAATCGAAACCTGCATCAATCAATCAATCAATCAATCAATCAATCAATCAATCAATCAATCAATCAAGACTCAGTGCCTAAGAGTAACGATCTACACTATACGACCGTCTTCCCCCGAACACAGCGCACCCTCATCATGAACGTATGCGAGCATCTTTCCGGTCAGATACAGTCATGACGAGGATGCTTTGTGTTCGGGGGAAGACGGTAGCCTACCAACTGCTACCAGCCTAGTTTGGCACGGGACTTATCCGGCCCAAAGGAGCCTACCGTCTTCATCCGAATAGAACGCCCGGTCATTATCGCTATATCTAGACTGAAAGTTGCCCCATATACAGCTATAATGACAGGGCGTTCTATTCGGGTGAAGACGGTAGCTCCTACTCTCTCTCTCTTGACGCTTTGCTGGTCGTCTACTGCGGATCTAGATGAACCAAACGTCCAGGTGCATCCTCTCTCCACCTCATAACATACAGACGCTGATTGTTCCCCCCGGGGGCAAGGGGAAGGAGAGAAAAGGAGAAGCTCCTATACCAAGGCGCTACTGTGGAAATGGCTCTTTTCATTGACTAGATGAAATATGTCTTTTTTCCCCTTTTTTTTCCCCCCTTTTTTTCTCTTCTTTTCTCTTTTTTTCTCCTTCTTTTCCCCACTTTTTTCCCTTTTTTCCCCTTTCTTATCTATGCTGGTGTGGATTTTTTGTCTTCAGAAGGTCAGAGACCTACTGGCTCCTGGAGCATGGTCCCACAAGCAAAGGGGATCGGATCGAATGCTTGAATCTGGACCTGTTCGTGGAGACGAGCAGGAAATCGAGATTGTACTGCTTTTCTGCATCTCTGCATATAAAACGTCCAGATTCAAGAGTTTGATCCTATCCTCTTTGTTAATGGCACCTTGGCCCTGTAGTTTGCGGTGCTGTGCTTCATACACTAATTTCTTTTTTTTCTCTCTCTCCCTTTTTCCTTTCCTTTTCTTTTAAAGGGCAACGGCCTTGAGATATCAGCATTGAACTGACCGGCCAAATACTATTCTACCAGAAAGGGCCTCTCTCTCCCTTTTTCCTTTCCTCTTCTTTTAAAGGGGAACTGGTAGAATAGTATTCTTTAGCTCAGCTGGTTGCAGCTGGATTTGAACCAATGGGTTTATCTTTAGGGTCTGCATTTC